AAGTCATTTTTTCTATGTCATACCATCCAGAACAAAGTTACGTTTTACATTTGTAAAACTCTCCTTTAGGGACTTTCAAATAAAACAAATACGATATTCGGAATCAGCACAAAAAAATAACTAAATTCAACAATATGCATTTCATTGAAAAAAAATTTCTATCGAAATTTTGCCTGAGAAAGCTACGGAGAAAAATGGATCTGGAGCAAGAGTACGGGTGAAATTTCGATGAAAAATGTTTTTCAATGAAATGTATATTGTTGAACTTAGCTGTTTTTTTTGTGCTGATTCCGAATATCATATTTATTTTCCTTGAAAGTCCCTAAAGGAGAGTTTTACAAGTGAAGGATTAAGGTTTTAACTATCTATCAGCTATTCTCAAGAAAAAAATTATTGTATAATTATTTCTTACTCGTTACTTTCACATCATTTAATACTTAATAACTTAAAAGTTTTTGCTTGGTTGCAAAAAAAAAAAAAAGAAATTAAACAATTAATTGATCGACAAAATTCGTTATTGAAAATCGCCAAACCAATTGTAACACTAAAATTTTCAGTTTCATAAACATTAGTATTTATGAAAACAAGATCAAGCAAGAATATGTTCTATGTAATCAATCGGAAGTTTGACTTATTTACAAGTCATCTTCTTGTACTTACATAGTATCCAATGTTCAAACAAGTATCAATCAGTTTTATGCATATTGAAAAAATGAACTAGATGCTCCAGATCGATTTAGGTAGGAAATAAAGTTGCTTGCGTTGAATTTGCGGCATATGATTTAGGAATCTGCAAGATGGTCCCGATAGTTTTTTTTTTACAAAGAACTAGACTAGACTAGGCATTTTGATATTTATTATTTTTTTATGATCAGCTATTTAAAAACCAGAATTCTTTAATAATCTCGACGAAATTTCCCCGGTGACCTTAATTTTGACTTCAAAAATCGGAATTTTGCCATAATCTGTCTGATCTTTTGACTAAGTGACTCATTAATACTATCGACCATTCAAAACAATTAATAATATCGGTTCTAAAAATCTTGCAGAAAAAAGTTTTAATGTTCCTTGATACTTATCTTTAGGAAGCTGGGAGTTCACAATTTTTGTGGATCAGGTTCGGAACCGCAGTTCTCTATTCTGAAAATACAATTTCGTATGGGTCACGCATCATGGTTGAACAATCCCAAAATAAGGCTTGTTTTGATAAACTGTAATAATAAATGATTCTAATGATAATATTTAGAATTTAGTCTTTTTTTTTTTTTCGATATATTTTCAAGAAAGTTTTTCATAGGTAACTCAATGTGTTCTATACAATAACATTAAATAAATTCAAAATAAAAATTTGCTAAAATTTTGAATTTCTAACAATTTATGATGCCTTTTTTTTTGTTTCTAAGAAGAAAATATTTACTTATATAAGATTAATCAATCAGATAAATATTCAATTTTAAAACAATATCAATTACATATTATCATTTATTTTAAATTTAAACTTCTAATTTCAAATGATTACCTATTCATTTATTTCTCCTTTTATCCGTCCGTCTGATCAACTGTTTATTGTTCTACTATCTTCTATGTATTCAATTTTAACCTAGAATGGATGAGAGAAAACATTGTTGCTGCCATATGTATATATCTGTTTGTTCTTGTTCGTTTGGGTGGTGGTGTGACGTTCACACATAGATAAACAAATAGACAGTTAAATATTCTTTTTTTCTTCTTTTTTTTTTTTTTTGACAAATCGATAGATGCAAACAGATATATATATACATAGACAATTGTTGGCTTAAACGAACGGACAATATACACACGAAAAACAATTAATATACATTCAATTTTAATGTGTAAGTGTATTTTTAAAAGATAATTCATATTAATTATAAAAAAAAAGAAGGTTTTCTTTTTGAAATCTAAACTAGAAATAATATTTTCAAGAATTTTTCATTTTCGTCAATTAGTCTAGGATAATAGATAGATAATCTAGTCCGTCGTCATTTTACGCTTTCTTTCTCTCATATATATTCTCATTATGAACTTATACTAATAAGTAATATATATATGAATGCATGACATTATATATTTTCTTAAGGTTGATCAATTGTTACTTCTGTTTCACACTTAAACGTTAATTTGTAAGCCATTTATATATATATATATATATATATATATTCATAAACCAATTTGTTTCATTTTATCTAGAATATATAGAACGAATTTTTATCATTATTTGAAAAACAAACCAGTTATGTCTTTGCCGTCGTCAACTTATCAAGCTCAACGAGAAGCTTATAGACATAAACTTATGTTTGAATTAATGTGTCGTGATGATGAACAAGTCGATTTAAAACGATATATTCGAGCTTTTGTAAGTTGAAAATATTTCAATATTTATAATTAATATAATCGAATCCAGAATGAGAAGAAAGGTTAACATAATTTAAAGAAAAATTCTTCATTTCAAATCTTACGCATCATGTAAAAGAAGATGAGCTGGAAGATACATTTTCAATGTTAATATTCATGTAATCCGATTTAATTGTTTTCAAGGACAAAATAAAAACTATGTTTGATAGAGATCGTTTAATTATGGAGTCTAGAAAAAGTTTTGTTTCAAATTCTTTTGTATTTTATTTAAGGATACTCTATTCCCAGTTTTTTGCAGGAACGACTCATTTGAAATTGTCTGGTAGATATAAACAAGATGGAATCAAAGATACTTTCATTCGGAATGATATTTGTGCGAAATAGATGAAATATTAGTGAATTAGAAAAAAAAAAGTAATGAATCGCCCAGAGGAAGAATCTTAGAGGTCATGGAGGAGTGTGGAAAATGTCTCGAATTCATTGGCATTGCTAGAAAATGATATTCCTTTTTTTCGCTGGTATATATATTAGTACATATGAAGCTAGCACTACGAATAGTAGGTCCTGCTTATCACTATCCTCAGGCAAGCAGATGTTGACGAGTAGAGCAATTTTTGTACGAGCTATCAAAATCTAGAAAATAATATTTTGCAATATAACTTTCAACTGATGTTGTTGAATAATCGAATATTGCCTTAATATTATTCTATTTGTTTGTTTGTTTAGGACATGCGTTTATCACGTAATACAGCATTTTCAAAAATTCCTTGTGGTCCTGTTATTGTAATTGATAAAGCAAAAATAGCTTCGTGGTCAACAAGCAATTCAAAATATAAAACAGAATTATGTAAATATTATATTGAAACAGGTATATGTAAATTTGATGGTGATTGTACATTTGCACATGGTGCTGAAGATTTACGTAATGCAAATCATAAATCAGTTTTATGTCGATTATTTCATATGACAAATAATTGTCCATATGGTAATAAATTTAATTAACTGAATAAATTAATTTAGTTTTTTTATTTTTTGATTTAAGGTCAAAATTGTGCTTTTATTCATGATGAATATAGACGTTCATCGATTATTGTTAAACCAGGTTATACATATGCACCACAATATATACCAGCAAATGGCGATCAAGCAGCAATTGATGAACATGAACATGAACATGAACAACGTTCACGACGATCAAGTTCAGGTTATGCATCAATAGATGAACTATTATCAATTTGAATGTAAAAAAAGAATAATAAAAGAAGAAAGGCGGCGGCAACAGTCGTAAGCATCGCATAGTTTATACAAAATTAGCAAATTTGGGCATTTGGTGGAAGAGATTTGGTGTTTTTTTTTTGGAGGGGAGTCTTTGTAGATCGTTGTTGCTAATGCATTTATGATCAATTTTTTTTTCGTATGTGTGTGTGTATATATATATATTAGATTCTGCCAGATATCTTGTCTTTATTTTATATGTATATCTAAAATATTGTTAATCTCTATTGCAATTGTTTGAATTTTTTTTTCTAATGTTCAATATGAAAAGAGTAAGAGAATTTTTTTTTGCTTTGGTTTTTGTTCGTTGAATTGTCATTAAATTCTTTTTTTTGTCTTTTGGTGTTTAATGTCGATTATGTCAGATGATAATTATTATTACAAAAAAAATATATATAAGAATTTGTTTTTCTAAAAAAAAATTATTCTTTTGAAATGGTAAATCATCATACAGTTGTAAGATAATGATTAAAATTAATTAGAAATCGAGATGTAAGCAAAATGTAAATCGTATCTTAGATTTTGCTGGAAACAAAACTCAATTTACTTTAGAAGGTGTGAAGTGTTCAAATAGCCATCTAAAATAGGTGTAGTAATGTTTATGTATGATAGAAGTAGCCTATCCTTATTCTGGTTGACGAGAGTTTATTTCAATGACCTAGAGATGGATGATTGCTGTGCTTTCAATATATCGACATGTCAAATCAAGTTTCTGACTTAATACTAGCACGATTACAAATGATAACATTATTTGGTCTTCTATATTTTGTCTCTGTAGCTGCGAAAGTCAATAATTTCAGATGGTGTTAATGTTTTCCCATTCTAAGAGAAAGTGTACATTCTGTCAAAGGCGATAGGTGGAACAGTTGATACCTTAATGATTTCCACTTTCTCCCATACGATATGACCGATCGGGCTCAATTTTTTTTTCATGAGTTCGTTGGTCAAATTGAGATACGTATTATGTTTTAAATGTTGTTCTTATAAAATTCGGCAGACTTTAAAAAATTAGTACCATCGAAAAAAACCATGTTTTTTTTTGGGGGGGGGGGGAGTGTTTCTAGTATTTTATTTTCTCTGAGCTCCTAGGAATGATATTTGTGAAAAAAAGCTTTTATAAATATACTTTTCGATCAGAATAAATAATAATGATTCTTCTATTTGCTGTAGAGGAAAAAGAATAAAATAATAAAATGTACTTTATCTTGAGTCAATAGAAGGTTTTTCTTCGTTGGTTCGTGTATTTCTTGTTTTTTTTTTGCTTTCCCTTTTCTAAAGTGACTATTTTGTATCGAATTGAAAAGAATATACTTGTTTTTCTCTTCAAAAAATCTTTCTGAACGAGTGAAAAAATGTGTCAGGAACTACCAACATTTGACTATAAAGATCATTGCCAAGAAGAAGAAATTGTTCTTGAAAGAGTAAGTTTGAAGTAATTATATAAAGTTAACTTTTACTATTCTAACTTTTTATTCTTACAGTCAAGTAATGATAACGATACTTCTCTTGGCTTTAGGATTGCTGGAGGAAATGATCAACCTTTCGTCGAAAATTTTACATCTATTATTGTGATTCATATAACTGAAAATGGTCTAGTAGATAGAGATGGACGCTTAAAGTAAGTTAATGTATGGATACCATAGAACAATAGTGAATTTCTTTTCTTAGATTATATGATATAATCTTACGTGTAAATGGTGTTGATTATTCAAATATTAAACATCAAACAGCTGTTCGAATATTGAAAATGTCCAGAAATATAGTTCGATTAGTACGTACCATTGAAAATATTTCTATTAGCTTTTTATTCTATGTGTAGTTAATTCGTCGTCTTGTACCTCAATTAATTGAAGTAATTGAACTGAAACATTCAAATGGAAAATTAGGAATTGAAATAGCTGGTGGCATTGGAAGTGAATATTTCAAAGGGTCTGTGTATAGATTATTATGTATTCAATTTATTAAAATTTTCCATTGATTTTTATTTACCTTTCGTTAGAGATTACTGTGTGTTTATTATTGGTATTTCCAATCAAATTAACAAACAATTGATTATTGGCGATCGATTAATAGAAATCTCATCCGCAGTAAGAGTTTTTGTTTTTTTAGTATATCATTTGCTCTTCGTATCTATGCGGATCTTCTAGAAAAACACGTACGATCTACGATTTGTTACACAGAAAGAAGCTAAAAAACGTATTGAATTAGCGTGTTCAGATAGTCAGAAGGTCAAATTGACTATCAGTAGTCATACGAGAAAGTTGATTAGGTAAATTGATCAGAAAAGACTAATTATCCAAATTTAATGAGTAGTTTTTATTATTTTAGTTCCATTGAAAAATCGGATGTTCTACATTCAGAACAGTATGAGCCTCGAAATACTAAAGATGAAGGTGAAACTCTAAGTTTTAATTAATTCGACTGAAATATTTAAGTCCATTTCAGTTAATACTACAGATAAACCAGTAGTTCTACATCAATATCCACATGATTATAGAAACGAAGAAAGTATCAGTATATACTGTTCAGAGAAAATATAAACTTCATCTATATTTTTGTTTTTGTCTAAAGCTTCTATAAAAGTCAATAAAAACAACTATTCAATCATTACTACAAAAAATGATCACTATGTAAATTTCAAAGCAATTAGAGCCTTACCACTTCTGTACGAGCGTACAAATGAGCAGCCATTAATAAAATCATTCGATTTTGAGGGTAATCTATACAAATTTTAAAGTTGAAATTGAATATCATATTGTGATCATATATTATTTCAGATTATCAAAGATATGAAAATCGCAGTAAACTACACTTAGTTGACTATCGCACCAAGAGTTTAACAACACGACATATTCTTCCTAACGTCGACTTACAAAGTCATATCGAGGTAGCACGAAAAACCAATGTATTGCAATATGATCAGAAAAATCTAAAAGAAGTAAGTGTTGTTACTTAGATTTCTTTTCATTCTTTTTTTTTAATGTATTTCTTCATCTAACTGATACCATCGGAAATGTGTTCTCTGTCTGGCTTACGTACTCTATCATTAAATGATAATGAAATTCAATTACTTCCTGATGATCTAACAAATTTAGTGAATTTAAAGAATCTCTATTTGAGAAATAATCAGATCAGTAAGCTATAATTTGTCACATTATATTTTCATTTTGAAAATATTTACTTTAGAATCGTTACCTTCTAATGTTTTTACTCATCATCTATCAAAGTTAGAAAATCTTCAATTAAATAGTAATCATCTACATTCTCTACCTATGTCATTTTGGTATCTAACAGCATTAAGAGAATTAAATCTTTCAAAAAATTGTTTCTTTACAATTCCTCAAGCAATTTTAAATTTAACTAATCTACAACTTCTTGATTTTTCATTCAATCAAATCACAGAGATAAAGAATGAAATTGAATTGTTACAAGTAGATGAATTAAATTTAAATAATAATAAAGTAAATATTTTCTTAGATTTTTTGTATAATTATGTCTTTACTTTTTTTTTCTTTTCAGATTTCTAAAATCTCTACTAAAATATCAAAATGTAAACGATTAAAAATTCTTCGATTAGATAATAATAATCTCGAGTTAAAATCAATTCCTATTTCATTATTAAAATATTCAACTGTATCACAATTAAGTGTTAAAGGGAATCGTTTTAATTACAAACAATTTCAATTGGTTGAAGGTTATGATTACTATGAAAAACGATATACGGCAAATCAACGAAAAAAAGATTAAATATAGAAAATTCTATACATTAGATGTTCACTATTTTGATGATATTTTTGATTTGTCTTATTTAAGAATATGAATGAATAGGTGAAGAGATGTCCCATACTCTGCTTGATTTACATGTCATAGAAAAAAACCTCTTTTTTTGTGTTCTTCTTTCCATTTTTCAACTACTACGGTTCCTTTATCATAATCTTATTTATCATCAACCATTTGCAAGAAAACGAAAGAGTTTCGTCATTGAAGGTTATAGATTTAGACATAATGAAACGTATTAAAATAGATGTGGAGATCGCACAACAATTCATGGTCTTCTTCTTCTGAATCAGAAGAATGGTATCTATATTCAGATATTGAAACAGATATTATTGAAAGAGTAAATTCGATGAAATAGCCAGAAGTTTTAATCGGCGATTATCGCATAGACTTCAAACATCTCAGGCAAATATGAAATAACAATCTTAATAATCAGAAGCCTGTCAAACGAGTGGTGAATGAACAAACAGATGCAAAGTTGAGAGAAGAGCAATGTATATCTAATCCGCTCTATCCATCAACTGCTTACATAGATTGGATATCTTTATTAGACTGTCTTGTAGCTGCAGCCGTTTAAATTCAACTCAGCAACTTTTGATTTTTGAACAAACTTGTCTAAACATATCGAGAGTGATGATCTCGAACTGACTTCCATTATGGAGACTTCTGGAGTCTTCATTGGATACGTCTTGATGTTTTCTTAGTAAAGAAAAATGGGCATTAAGACTACTTTTTCAGTTTACAATATTTTCAGGAAGTAACTATATGGCTGTAACAAGGTCAATACGGACTATAAATATAGTGTAGTTGTTTCCTTTGAAATGATTTCGAGATTCCCGACACCATAGAATTTCGAAATTTTTTTTTTCAAAATTCAATTTTCAAAAGTAACTAGGAATGTCGATTTGACTACGTTGATCATGAATGTCGAAATCGCAAATTCAAGAAATGTAGTGGTGAGGCATCAGACAATTTTACCTATGTCTGATGTTTAGAGTCCAATCTCATTTTTTGATCCTCTTCTTGTATAGACTCTGTCATCTAAAGCTTTATATCGGTGCTAATTTTAGAGTTCTATCCGAATGTGGGTACAGATGGATATCAGTGCTGATCTTCTCTTGACCGCAAGATATTCACAATTTTTATTATAAAGCCATTTATAGAACATCCTGCATACTTTAAATATATTTTGATCTTTTTCTTTCTTAAAATCTGGTACACAATGGTGATTCGGGCGACGGTGGCGACTGAACAAGCAACTGTGCTACAAATAATAATAATATATGAGTAAGAGAATTTGTTATCTTTTCTATTCTTACCATTTTTTTCAAGTTGAAGAATCGCAGTGTATATAGCATCGGTACTTTTCGAATCAGTGACATTGGCTTCACCAAATGGAACAAATTGTTTAGGTTGAGATATTTTCCATTTAATCTTACGATCGAATACTAATTTATCGAATTTGGCACCCCAATCAGTCGCCATTTTAACAATATTAGCTCGACTACCTAGTGTAGAAATTAATGCTTTGGCATCGATTGGTTTGAGAGCATTCAATGTTTCTTGATCAACAATGTTAGGCGTCAAACCATTGATATCGATAATATTTTCAACAAATGTTTGACACATATTATTTTCGCCAGCATCATACTTGAAAAAATTTTTATCGACATTCGATGCTGCAGAAATTAATCGATTGAGTGTTAATGGTTTATTTGGTGTTAGTGGAATATCATATACATCGATCAATTCATTAGGTATAATCGGATATTTGAGAGCAATACGTTGTGCTTTCTCAAGTTTAAGAATAGTGCTAGCAGTTGCATTTTGTCCGGCATTTCCAAGCATATGTTGTAGTATATGGGGTCCATGACTATTTTTAATAGTAATGAGTAAATAATTGTGATAGATTTCATCATAACCAAGTTCAAGTTGTTTATTGGTAAATCTTGAATCGCTTAAAAAGTTAAGTATTTTAAGAGGAAAATCTTGAACAGGTGTACGACCAAGTTGAATTTTAAGAATGAGTTCATCGCCTACTTTCTCCAATAGATTTCGTACTCGTGCTGGCATTTCTGGATCGTGTTTAGCATCGATAAGTTGCGGTTTATCATTCTTAAGCTATGAATAAAAATTAGACAATTACATTTAAAATAGCTATGAGAAATATAAAAAAAGTAAATTGATCTTTAAACATATTTTCCTGTTTTCATAAAATCCAAAACGAAGTCAGTTCAAAATGAGACTGAATTGTTCATAAGATACACAATTTATATTTCTTACCTTTTCAAAAGGGAAGACGGGAAACATCATTGTTGGTTAGAGCAAAATCTATAATTGAATAACAAATCGAATCTATTGGATGAATAATGCCAAGATAAATCTAAACGAGAGGTAATGTACCACGTAAATGCTAGTTGAAAAATGATTATATGAAATGAATAATGAGTTCATTCAAATAATTAGGTTTTTCAACAATAAGAGACAGTTTTGCTCTTTGGCGACCTCTATTCCTTTACAAATCATATTGCCGACGACTTTGTTCAATCAATTAATTTGTTAGAATATTTTTGAAGAAGATAATTATTGAAACATCTGGCTTGATATTTCTAATTTGTATTGAAAAAACATTCAATTTAGATTTCTGATGAAGAAAAATTTTGAATTCTCATGTAATTCGATGTTTACAATACTTTCAATATTTCTAGTCTCCAGTAATATCATCTATTCATTTTATTCTCTACGATAGTAATTAAGTCCGTTATGAGAGCTCTCGATATCATTATTTAGATATCTTCAGTAGATTGTGTTTGATAAAAAAAAATCTAAAAAAAACTGCTTTTACGTATTATTCATCACTGTATACTCGTACGAGCAAGGAAATATTTGACCGATGCTTACCTTTGCGCTCTAATGACTGGTATTACCAAATGCGTGCTTGATGCTGCAAGTAATACACCTGTTTATATATTTTTCTCTTTCAACCCGTTGGGTGGCGTGTGATACTGTCAATATTGACACGTCGTTTCACCGTATTCTCTTTCTTCTATGCGCATTTACGTATGCGTATACTTTCATTAAATAAATTCAAAGAAACAACGCCTTCTCCCAAACATCCAACTTACCAATAACGAAATGCAGTGTATTCTTAACTGAAATAGATTTACGATAAAAATGCAAATAATAATATATTGATTTATTTCTCTTTATCTACTACACAATACTTTTTCTGTGATGAGAAGAATTATTCTTAAGAGTGTGTGAGTCTGGGTGCCGTTATGAATCTTTCTTTCACCTAACAACTCACACCCAGTTTGCAGGAATCTTCACAAAACGATGGAGACATGTTTAAAATGCATTTATTGCTGATCACGTCTTTCGATTTCGTAAGAATGAGACGCATCGTTATTTAAGATTATCTGATAAAAACTTCAAACAAAACCGAAAATTAAGAATCAGTTGAAAAATACGCGAGTCCGTACGTTTTTCATCAGAAATTTCAAAATTAGTGGAAGTGTCGTGCTTCTGATTTTCTTGAATTTCTTTCTCTAGGAAACAGGAACTCTGTAGAAGTCGACTTTCGAGCATTTATGAACGAATTTATACACAGATGATTTTTTCTTGCAGTTAGAAGACAAAGTCAGTATCGGGTTTCCGATTTTCGGAAATAAAAGGCCGATTGAGACACTCCTCAAATTTAACATAACAGTTCACTTTTCTCATTTTACACAACGATCGCCAAAGCTTTCACTAATTGCGAAAGGGAAAGTATGTATTAAAAACTTTTTTTATCAACAATTTCAATTGAAAAACCTAAAACTATTCATTGAAATAATTCATTAATAATCATCATCTATCGATATTTTTGAAATCAAAATAGAGATCACTCTCTGCAGATTCTCTCTACTACACTCTTCGATTCTTCTCGGAATATAAATTATCTAAAACTATGTTACTTTATCAAACTGTTTCCTTTGCTCGCTAAGGTGTCTGCGCCTGACTATGAAATTTCTAGGGAAAACTACATCTATTTGAAATGAAGCTTTTGATAGTTTTCGAAACAAAATAAAACGAGTTCGTTTTGAAAACTTTTGCTTTTTTTGAATCATAATAAAGATGTAGTATCTATCATTACTTCGATACATCTTCACTGTAACGATAAGAACAACTGCTTCAAATTTTTTGTATACTTATGAACAGTGGATTCATTAAATCTCGGGAGATTTGCATCTTACCTAATTTCAAATTCAACATTTCGTTAAAACATGATTTTAATCATATATTACGCACTCATTGCAATTTCCACTTTTGTAAAAAAAAAAAAAATATCATAAGATGCAACTTGAAAAGCTCTACAATTTACAAAAGACAGCTTAGTTTGTAGTTACACTTTTTGTTTTGAAAATGAATAAAATTCTGAATGATCAAATTTCGACACTGCGGACAGTAGTCGCCCAAAAATTTTACTTTTTTTTCAAAACATAAAGCACCCAATCAAAATAAGCTTTACTTTGTAGATCGTAGAGCTTTTCATGCTGTATCTCGAGGTATATTTTTCTTTTCTTTTTTTTATTAAAATATATCAGGTGGTAAATAAGAAAAAAAATGCATTCGTCGTGCACCAAAAAAAGATTTTTGAAGCTTTGAAATTTAGTCGCACAGAATTTTGTCGATCTTGAAAAAAAGTAGAATTGTAAAATAAGCGGTCTTATGTAAATTGTAGAGCTTTTCAAGTTACATATTGTGATATATTTTGTTTTTCTTAATACAACGTATTAAGTGATTGAAAATTGAAATGTAAAGCGTAGTCATTTAATCTGCATCACTCGTGATATCTCGCTAATGAATACTATTCGTACTGGTTATATCAAGTTCTAGTTTATATAATGATGGATGCTTATCAAACATAGATTGATTCAATTTCATTTGATGTCGCAATAAACAAGATTATAGTTTTTAGATTTTTAATC